GAGTAGCAGAGTAGCTGGTACTGAGGAAACCCTTGGTGAATGCAGATTTTGGTCATGGAGATGATGTGAGGAGGCAGGAGGAGGGGAGAGAAGAAGAGGATCTGGACCCCAGAAGGTGAAGGTGGCTTGTGGACCATCGAGGAGGTGGAAGGGGAGAGGGCAGTCACGGACAGAGCCCTTGAGTCCTGACTCCATCTGGCTCCATCTGGCCAAAGAACTTAAGGAATGCAAGGGGCTCTTTCTCCTCCAGGTGGGACTTGGTGGGTGGGGGAGGCCTGGGAGAGGAGCTACAGAGGGGACACCCCTGGGAGAGCAGGAGCCCACCTCCCCTTTACCCGGTCTCCCCCACCCCCCCCAACTTGTAATAAGGAGATAATGCCATTTCTTATTCTTTATTTGCCCAGAATGCCTGTTATTTTCTTTCTTTCAGAATCCAATTTTCTCTTGACATTTCTGCCTAATGTAGCAAAACTTGACCTTTGTGAAAGGACATTGCTGGCAGCCTGCTCCCTGCCTCGGGCCCCCCAAGAACTCCTGGCTGGTCCTCCCTCAGAGACGGGCGAGGGTCCCCACTTTACCTGGACGGCTGCTGGGTCCCCGCCTCCTCCTTCCTGTGGGGGCGGGGTGGGGCGTGTTTCCCAGGGCGCAATGAACCTGGGGTTCCCGGCTGCTGCCTCTCAGCTTTAGAACCAGGGACTGTTCCAGGCTGCGCTGGAGTCGGGCAGAGAGCTCAAGGCCCCTGGGCCTTGTCTGACTTCTGCTGCCACTGGTGCTGTTGTGCATAAACCAGCAACAAGATGCTGGTGCATAAACTCACCTTCATGGAAACATCAGAGCAGCCGATGGTAATGGAGATATGTAGGGTGGTACCCAATCCTGTTATTCTCGACCCCGAGCTTCAGCTTCAGGTCCACTCCCTGGTGTAAGGCCATGACTCGGATGGGCATAAATGTCGGATCGCCTACTCCTCCCTTCCGAGCAGGAGATGCTCTGCTGGGAGCTGGGCGCCTGAGTGTCCTCACACGGTTGTCATGCAGTCCTTCTGTCCCCCTTTCCTTCCAATTCAGTGGGGGAATGAGGCGGATTGTGGGAAAAAGATTTGCCATAGTTAGGGTTTTGTGAAGCTGAGCATGCGGACGGGTTAAGGTTTACAGGCTTTTTTTTTATTGGGGTACTGTATTGGGGCACTATTACAACAGCTAAGGCATGGAAGCAACCTAAGTATTCAGTGGCAGATGAATGGATAAAGATGTGCTATGTATACATGATGAAATATTACTCAGTCATTAAAAGGAGGTTTATAGGCTTTTGGTGAGAGGCTGTGCTGTTATTCACGCCAGCATTCCACAGCCCTGCAGAGAGGAAGTTAGTGACAGTGTGGGGATAAAAGGGGCCCTCCTAAAGAGGGCCAAGGAGAGAGTGCTGGGGGTGGGGGGGGAGAGTGTGACAGTAAGTTTGGGGTATACCTCCCTGGAGAGCTTCCCTTTGTCCCCAGTCCCTTGCACCCCAAGAATGGGGTCTTCTTCCCCCACACAGTCATGGGCTGTCACCAAGACAGTGTTAGTTGCTCAGACATGTCTGCCTCTTTGTGACCGCATGGATTGTAGCACGCCAGTCTCCTCTGTCTTCTCCAGGGAAGAATACTGGAGTGGGTTGCCATTTCCTTCTCCAGGGGGTATTCCTGAGCCAGGGATCCAACCCAGGCCTCCTGCATTGCAGGCAGATTCTTTACCGTCTGAGCCCCCAGGGAAGACCAAGTCACCAAGATAGAGCTGCCTCAAATGCGAGGGGGAAGCCCTGTTCAGTAGCTTGTCCTTGGCTTTGAATACCTGCTCCTCCGATAAGCCATGATTACCCTCTGTGACCTCACCCAGGATGAGCTTCTCCTATGGGCTCCAGACCCACACATCCAACAGGCTGTCTCATGCCTCTCTGTGGACATCAAACAGGCATCTCAGACTTAGTGTCTGCAGGGGGAAGGTCTTGATCTCCACGCCACTCTCCAGCTGGGACCCTTCTGCAGCCTTGGGCTCGTTAAATGACAGCACCACTCTCCCGGGCATTCAAGTCTCCCTCCGTGCCTGATCCAACCCCACAGGGATTCTGGCAGCTCCCCCTCACCACCTAGCTTGAATTCATCAGCTTAATCATCTCTGTGCTCTCTTCTTGCCTGGAATATGGCAGCATCTCCTAACTGCTTTGATGGCTTCCAGTCTTGGGTTCCTGTTTTTAAAGATGCTAGTTAGATTATGCCATGTCCCTACTTAACACCGTTTGGTGCTCTCCCATTGTTCTTTACAGTAAAATCCAGATGCCTTACTTTGGCCCAAAAGGTGGGTGTGGCATGGCCCCTTCTGGGTGCTTATTCTATTTCTATTTTTAAAATTTTTTGGCCAGATGGCATGGGGATCTTAGTTGCCTGACTGACCAGGGATCAAACCAGCAACCCCTGCCTTGGAAGTGCAGCGTTTTAACCATTGGACTGCTGGGGAAGTCTCCCTCCTATTTATCCTAGACCACACTTCTCCTACTTCCTTTCTCATGGCCTCCTTTCTGGCCCCCTTATCCCTCTCAGGGCCTCACACCTGATGTTCCCACTGCCGGGAGCACACCTTCCCTGGCACTTGGCTCAGTCTCACTCCTCTTGTCTCAGCTCCAATGTCCCCTCTCAGAGGGTCTTTATGGAAGCCTTTGACTTGTGGAATGTTCAGAATGCTTGTTTATGGTGATTATTTCATAGATATATATATATTATCTTAAACTCATCAAGACATATATATATATTAAACATGGACAAAATTTTTTGGTAAGTCAACTATACCTTAATAGTTAAAAAAAAAAGGGAGGGATAAATTAGAAGTTTTGGACTAGCAGATACAAGCTGCTCTATCTAAAATGGATGAGCAGTAAGGTCTTACACACTTCTGAGATAGCCCCGTCTCTCTTCCCCATCAGTTTCTTGCCCCACTTTGCTTAGACCCTTTATTCTACTCATCACAAACTGCAATTCTCTTGCTTATTCATTTGTAACTTGAACATACGTTCCCAAGAGACCTTATCTGTTGTCCACCCCCTCGTTCCTTACTGGAGCCTATATTTGGCTGTAAAGAAATATTTGTTATAGAAGTCCTTTAAATATAGGTGCACTTGTAAGTCTATGCATATGTGTATAAATAGGAGTCTGTGTTTGCATTTGTTACCAACATGTTTGATAGACATAGATATGCACGTGCTGGTGCGTGTGGAGAGGTATTTACCTAAGTGCAGTCTTTACTGCTCTCCTTTCTCATCACTAGATGAGTCCACAGTTCCTGGGGTACCACTTTGACTCTAACTGTCTCCAGCTGCTGCCTTGAAGGACTGTGATCACATCAAAAGTTGTTTGTTGAGCCTGGCAAAGTAATAACCGTGGGTGTGTTTCTTCTTTTATTCAGAAGGCTAATGACTGCTCCTTTCCCCTGTACATCCTAATGAGAACAATTAAATAGCCATTAGGAGGAGAACAGAAGTGTGAACCAAAAGGCTGATGTCTTGATCATCGATGGGCAGGGTTGCTGGGGGAGGGACTGGCTTGAAGGAATTATAGGTGTGGAGTTTTTTTGACTTGTGTGAATGTTAAGAATGTTTGTTGGTAACAATAGCCTCACTTAATGCAGGGTGAAGAAGTCCCAGGTATCTACAGTACAGGGTAGGGCATAGTTACCCACTCTGGTGTTTTTGCCTGGAGAATCCCAGGGGCGGGGGAGCCTGGTGGGCTGCCATCTATGGGATCGCACAGAGTCAGACACGACTGAAGCGACTTAGCAGCAGCAGCAGCAGGGCATAGTTAACAATACAATATTGTACACTTACAACTTTGGGAAAGGGCACATGTTCTATTAAATATTATTATCAAAGAAAAGGGAGGGGAGAAACTTTTAGAGGTGCCAATTAAGTTTATGGCACTGTTTATGGCGATCATTTCATATGTGTATATATATTATCTTAAACTCATCAAGACATATAAATATGTACAGCTCTTTTGGTAAGTCAGCTATGCCTCAGTGTTAAAAAAAGGGAGGAGGGATAAATTAAGAGTTTGGGATTAGCAGATACAAACTACTATATGTAAAATGGATAAGCAATAGGTTCTACTGTGTAGCACAGGGAATTATATTCAGTTACCTATATAAACCACAATGGAAAATAATATGAAAAAGAATGTATTTTTCTGTAACAGTCACTTCACTGTACAGCAGAAATTAATTCAACATTGTAAATCAACTGTACTTCATTAAAAAAGTACTTGCTGGTTTGTATACGCTCTACCCTGAGGATTCTCTGTCCTCCTGAAAGAGGGTGGGCTTAAAAAGGTGAAATTTTATTGTGGTCAGGGGATAGCAGAGAATGATCAAGAAAATTTTATTAATTAATTTATTTCATTTGATTAGTAAAGTCTTTTCTTTAAAAGGTCTCAGCATCCTCTCCAGACATGATCTGTAGCCTTGACTACTAGCAGATGTGCTGTTAGCCGAATGGAACAAAGGATAAGAACAACTAAGCCAGGCTCCCATGAGATGACCATGCTTACTACACAGTGCAAGACTTATTCTAGATCGTCCTCTAATTTTCTTTGTTTGTCCATCTTGCAGAAACCTGTCAAGTAACCGGCTCACCACGCTCTCGTGGCAGCTCTTCCAGACGCTGAGTCTTCGGGAATTGTAAGTTCAGTTTCGAAAACTGTCCAAATTGGTGGAGTGGTGGTCAGAGATCGGGTGAAGCCACTGGAAGCTGGGGCATATATACACCTGCAGAGGTTTTTGGGGTGGATGACATGGGTGTACCATGTTCAGTGAGAGGGAGTCACCCCATTCCTTGATTTCTGATGCTCTTTCTGGGCATAGTACATTTCAGAAGATAGGAATCTCATTTATCAGGATGTAGTTTTGTGACCTGTTATTAATTAGTTAATAACAGTATTGAATTTATAATAATAGAGCTAGTTTATAATAAACAACGTTTGTAATATATAAATAGATTATTAGGTGTGCTTTCGTTTACATGACCTCTGATTTATCATCACTAGTGCCAATGAAGGTAGGTATTATTATGCTTCCCATAAAAATGGTATCTCCACCCTTTAAGGTGAGGGTTTTTTAGCTCCAGAAAGGCATAGCTAAGATCACCTTGCTAGGGACTGGCAGAACCAGGCCTTGAACACAAGCCTTTAATTTCAGATTGCATGTCTTTTCCACTTCTCATGATCTTCTGTCAGCCTATTTGGCTTGAGTATGGGCATTCTGGAGGGACAAAGCCCATGCGTTTATTCACTCCGCCTGTGGACCTAAGTCTAGCCTTGCTGCATTCCGAGACTGATCAGTGTGCTACTACCCCAGCTAGCCATTTTTCACAAACACATGTTGGATGGATGAGTGAAAACTTGTGACCACTGCTGGAAAAAATAACTCCTGTTGTCGTGTGAGTCATCAGGATCAGCTCTGTGCATGAAGGACAGCATGTTATGTTGAGAGGACAAATCTAGGAATAAATTGCAAAGGAACTGAGACATGGATGGAATTAGGGACTCGGGGTTCCAGAGACACTGCTCACGTGTCTCCTCTTCTACTTGGTGACTCCAATCCAAATTCACTGAATACAGGTTGCTTTCCTATCCTTTACCAAGAGGCAAGGAATGACCTTGGATCCCTGCCCGTGCTGTTGCCCTTTCAACTTGTTCTCCCTCCAGCTGGTTAAGACCTGAGTTCAAGGATGAGTCATGACCTTTTCTGACCCAGTTGGTCAGGAGGGAGAATATGTACATTGCCTTGACAGTCCAGTATATACCCTACTCATCCTCTACTAGGTGTCTACATGATGGTGAAAGAGGCCATTCCAGGGATGGGAAGGGCAGAGAGGGTCTCTTTGACAGTGTTGGAGGGTTTAGGATAAGACCGCTTTCCTTCCTTAGGACTTTGCCCTTCCCACTAGCCTTCTCCTCTGCTATAAGCATAATAGCTGTAGTGATCAGAGTTCATACATGGCTACCATATATCAGGTCATATATGGCTACCATCCACATGTACATCAATAAAAACTTCTTCCTGAGCTTGAAAAAAAGGTAAATATACACTCACGTGTGTTCATGCCAAGTCGATTCAGTTGTGTCTGACTCTGCTACCCTATGGACTGTAGGGCTCCTCCAGGCTCCTCTGTCCATGGGATTCTCCAGGAGGGAATAATGGAGTGGGTGGCAATGCCCTCCTTCAGGGAATCTTCCTAATCCAGGGATTGAACCCGCGTCTCCTGTGTCTTCTGCATCGCCAGGCAGGTTCTTTACCACTAGTGCCACCTGGGAAGCCCAAATATATACTTAATGGTTTGTAAAACACAGAGAACCTGGACAATGTCACAGAGACATCTCAGCGTCAGATTGGTCCACCTGATGCACTTGTGTTCATTCCTATCTTTGTAGGTAGACAAGACGTTAAAGGTAAATGAACATGACTGCTTTGATCACCACTAATGCTGATTTCTGAGGTCTTACTTTGTTGCAGGCTCTGTGCCAAGCAATCTATCGAGTTATGTATGTTATTTAATCCTTATAACAATTCTATCAGGTCAGAATGACTACTATCACTTCACCTTTGGGGACCCTGGGGGGTACTTAGCAAGGTTAAGTATCTTGGTTAAGGTCACCTGTTAGCTGAATGGCAGCATATGAACTCAAGATCTTGACTATTATGCTCAGCCATCTCCCAACTTTTTCAGTCTTTTTTCAGTCCAGGTGTGTTAGTCACTTAATCATGTCTGACTCTTTGTGACCCCATGGACTATAGCCTGCCAGACTCCTCTGTCCATGGGATTCTCCAGGCAAGATAACTGGAGTGGATAGCCATTCCCTTCTCCAGGGTATCTTCCCGACCCAGGGATTGAACCCAGGTCTCTCCCATTGCAGGCAGATTATTAACCATCAGAGCTACCAGGGAAATGCTTCCAATCCAAGGATGGATCCATCCTATGATAATTTTCAAACATATGTGTGATTACAGTTTTTCCTTACCTTGCTTTAAAACTGACCAGGGGCCCTGCCCTAAAGGATCTGATTGGGGGCTCTCTTTCTTGTGAGTCTTTCATTTAGTTCTCCCAAGAACCCAGCCCTTTCATCTATGGGAGTCCAGGGACTGCATCTCTCCAGGATGCATCTTGGTCTGCCATTGTTGGAATTACTGAGACAACGTTCAGTGCTCCTTCTAAAAGTCACTGGCTGCTAAATCAATGGTGTGCTGCCCCCATGACCTGTTTCTTGGAGTTTTAGAAACAGTTGTTCCATGGATATATATTTAAAGAAAATGTCAGATTTCTCCCAGAGGCTCATGGGACTCTGCATTCATCTTTGCCCGGGATCAATACACCAGTGAGCTGGCTGTGACTTATGGCAGAATGAAGACGTTCCCTCCAGGGCGAGTCACTGTGGGAGAAGCACCATGTCCACGGAGTATTTTATTTCTGTCATATTGTTAAATAAGAAAAGAATTATATTGGAAAATAAAGAAACCCCTCTCTGAGGGAGCAGTCGCCTGATAGGGGCTTTTTTTTTTTTTTTTGAGGAAGAATTGAATGTTGAGAGTGGAAAATTTATCTCTTGGCTGGAGGGGCCGCCTGTTGGCTCTTAGCTGTGGCTGTGATTAAAATCCAAACAATCCCAGTTCCTGGCAAATGGAAGAGGGGGTCGTATTTTCTTGTCTGACTTCCTGATTAGTCCACATGGCACCATCTGCCATGAGCCATGTAGACTGCCAGGGTCTGCCCAATGGAGCCTGCGGGCTGGGGTGTGGGGAAGGGCGGGGTAGTTCCTGGAAGAAAGACTGTTGGCCCTGGAAGAGATGGCTCTGTGAGCTGGGGTGGCCAGATCCTCGCGAGGGTAGAGGTGTGAGGCTTCCAGCGACCTTCCGCAGGAACAGAAGGATCAAACTGGGCCTTTCGACAGCTTCTTAGCACATTTTATTCCTTCGTGGGGGATCTCTGCCTGCCCCAACCAGCCCCTCCTTTGATCCTTGATAGAGGAATGAATGCTGTTGGGATTCCCCGTCAGAAGGCTGAGTGTGTATGACTTTTCCAGTAGCAGAGAAGGAGAAAGAAGAGACATGTATTGAGTCCCTAATGTATACGACGGCTTCCCCTGTGGCTCGGCAGTAAAGAATCTGCTTGCCAATGCAGGAGGCGCTGAGATGTGGTTCAGTCCCTGGGTTGGGAAGATCCCCTGGAGGAGGAAATGGCAACTCATTCCAGTATTCTTGCCTAGAAAATCCCATGGACAGCGGAGCCTGGTGGGCTACAGTCCATAGGATCACAAAGAGTCAGACACGACTGAGCGACTAAACAACAACAACAACAACAATGGATAAGAGGTCCAGTCTCATCCCAGGGAACAACCCCACAGCGGGGTGGGGATGTCCTTATCCTCCAGTTTGACAGATGAGGGTTGGAGGCCCGGCCAAGTGAAATAGCTGATCCAACATCACAAGTAACGGGAATTAGTACTGTGATTATTAGCATTGCTACCACCCAGGTATGCACTTTTCAAAGACCAGCTCTTTTTTGACCCAACTTAGCCCCACAGCCCACATGCTTTGCATCTCCTTCCAGAGGACACTCTCAACATGGCAGCTCCCCTTGGAATCAACAGAGGGGAGAAATGGAATCCAAAGGGGGAAAAAAAATTCCAAACAAGTTAGCATCTCAGGGCCCTTGCCATATGCCAGACACTTCTTTTACTCATTTCTCATTTACTTTTGTGCGATGAAGGGTATGGTCTTGGCTGAGCACCAAGCCCATTGCTTCTCACCGGTCCGGGCTGTTTTTTTCTTACTGATAAAAACTGGAAGAATCTTTCAAGAGTTGCATCAGAGTAGCCAGCCGTCTTCCCATAGCATGGGTTTGGAGAGGTTTCAGTCGGTGTTGCACAGTGCTCGCCGAAGTTTCTGGTTTTGGCAAGATGCTGTCTTCCCATTACCAAGAAGATGGGAACTGTCCGTCGAGAAAGCCGAGCGAGAATCAAAGAGATTGTCTCCAAGGTAAAGAATGAATTAGAAAGAAAAGAAGCTTGGATTCTGAATCCCATGATACAATTTAGGCAAAGGCGAGAGGCACCAGAGGATATAAACACACAGTGCAGAAACCCTTCAGAAATACCCTGAGGACCATTAGTGTATCTCCAGCAGGCTTCTCTTAATACCCTGCACGCACAGAGCAGACATGATTAAAACAGATTGGAATATTTCATTTTCTTAAAGCACAGTGATAATTACGTCTGGTATAATCTGCAGATTTAATAGACTTGGTAAAATATTAACTTGGTTTTGGGGATGGTTTTGTGCTAATCCTGGCACTTTCCCTCTCCCAGTGCTGGCCCTGACTGCTTGCCACAGCTCTTCAAGTCACTAAACAAGCTGGTTAAGGGGTTCCCTGGTTGCTCAGTGTTTAAGAAGCCACCTGCCAGTGCAGGAGACTTGGGTTCCACCCTTGGTCCAGGAAGATCCCACATGCCTTGGAGCAGCTAAGCCACAACTACTGAGCCTGTGAACCGCAACCACTGAAGCTTGAGCAGCCTGGAGCCCCTGCTCCACCACAAGAGAAGCCACCACAATGAGAAGCCCGCACGCAGCAACCAGACAGTAGACCCTACTCACTGCAACTAGAGAAAAACCTGTGCAGCAACGAA